TGGAACTGCTAGGCTTCAGAACTTCATGTTGTTTGTTAAGCAAAAAAACGAGTTGATCCAACAAATGTAGCTCTACAAGATCACCGAAGACCACCACTCTGTGTGACTATTTTGTCAGATTTTGTCCTTGATTGAATACGTGTTCTTCATTTTTCCTGAGCAGATAGGTATTAAATACTGGCATTATTGTTTTTTTTGCAACTGGCAGAGTTGTGAACCATAAGCATCTATAAACTATTTGATCCAGGACATATGCGGAGAGTGCTAAAGTTACAACTGGCGAGATCGAAAGGCGCCACACACCACACGGGTTTGAATTCTGGCGCTGTGTGCCTGTGCGGTTTTAAATTTGGTTGCTCCGTTTGCCAATCAGTGGAGTTGCACACGAACACGGTCAGCATACGTGGATTCACGAACGAACATTGCCATTTCACCAGTATGGCCCTGGCTGTTCCTTTCATTTGCCCATCTTTCATCTTGCTTGTAGCTCTGACGCTAAGATCAAAGACCGTATGCCCCGATGCCACAGCATGAGATACCAAACAAAGCCGCTGGGACATAGGATGTAATGGGATGTACTCTCTCTGCAACTGAAAGACCATCTTTCTACTTTCAACTTCCATGTAAATAGAAGGCTCTTCCATCCTTCCTTCCTTCCTGCCATCCTTCCTTCTTTCCGACACATTCCTTCCTTGCTTGCAATCCGCTTTCCATACCCTTCCCTATACTCGCCGTCAGCATAGCAAGCTCGTGACATGACAGCAAGCCCGGACATGACGTAGACTGTTCCTAGGTAAAACTGGAGCGCAATATAAGCCTGTGAGAAAGGTTCGCGATGGTGTTTGCACTGGCTGGCGCAAATTTATGTACATGTTTGCAGTTAAGTGATGGGAATTTGCCTGCACTAAGTCACTAAGTGATCCCTTGACCCATCATGCTTAATTATTTAAGCTGATGTATGGCTTGCTTTGGTCCACTTTGGATGGAAGCTTAGGCCAACAACCAGTGGAATATTGAAGCTGAACTCGGAACTGATCCAATGGATAGCGCCTTTGCGTGTGCTTTGACCGGCGGGATCAAGGGAGTGGTCATGGTGTTGGATCAGCAAGTGCAGCCTCTCACCAGAGCCATGACTGCAACGTGTCCAGTTTGAAGCATGTTCCATGAATGTCCACAGAACATCTCGCAGAACGTTGGGGCCCATGTCAAGATATTTATTTATATACATATCTATAGTAATACATATATAATGTGTTTTATCTTTCGTGAGCTGACTTGATTTGTTCTTCATGTGCATAAGTCGGCACAAGGGATTGTTTTTGGGAAACTCACAAAATAAGCGCACTTCCTCACTCTTTGCAACACAGCCAAGTCACCAGGAGTGTGGTGCTTGTTCGAATTCTTCCTCTCCAGCCGCGAACACCTCGAGTTGGATTTTGGAACGGATGCGGGTGTAATTGGAGATGCTACTTGGGCTTTGAAGTGTGCATGTTTGTCCTCTTGTTGCAACTCCAAAGAAAGCCGAGTACATTTGAGATGTAGAGAACATGCTCAAGCAAAAGAGAGCAGAATTCAAGAGCCCGTGTTGTATGTTCTGTAAGTCGATTCAGACAATCCTACATTTGCACTCTTTTGTGGCCGATCCTCTTCATTTGCATCAGGATGGATGCACATCCTTTGACATCGCACTGGAAGTGGGCAGAAGGATCAAGTCTTTGCAAGTCGTGAACTGCGAAACATCCTCTGAAAAGGACAAGAAGCTCGTTTGGAATAAGCACAGACTTGACCTTTTTCTTGGTCCTCCAAATCCTCCACCGATGTCTTAAAAAAAAACAGCAACAGTTCAGTTTGTCCACAGTACTCCTCTTTGCTAAACTCAAAACGGCGTTCTTCTCATGTTTGGATTATTTTCTGATCGCCCCGACAGCTTATGCTCGTGGCTCTGGCATGGCCATGTCAGGCAGGATATCTTCGACTACATTGTCTCGGAGCTTGGTAGTTTGGAACGGATGGATGAGCAAATCCGTTCACTGATTGGCAATATGTTGAAGAAGAATCTCTCAAATGTAGGACATGCGACAGAGACTCTCTTGCTCGAACTGGGTCAGATCTAATTCATGCATGCCAAGCAGCGCCGGCATTTTGGGTGAATGATGCTGAATAATGTTGATTGTATAGCTGTTCTGGGCAGAGCGCAAGAGTCGCAACCCTTTTTGGGAAGCCCTGTTTCAAAGCATCATGTTTCAATGCAATGTTTAGTGCACGCACAAGGTGGTGGCTTTAGTTTGTGTTTATCATTTGCAGCTTCCTCAACTAGAAGCGGTTTGACCACTCGGTCAGCAAGCAAGTTCCTCAAGATGCAGACCAAACAACAAGTGGTGCCTATGTGGCTGTGGATCAAACTCTGTTCATCCACCGACTGGTGGGAAAAAGCTCCACAGCCCAGCATTGCTTGTGGGGTTTGCAGGCGAATCCCAGTTTTGACACCTGTCCCATGCCACCTGTGCCGAGTATGGGTTGAGTGGTTGCGCAATCTGCTTAAATTCCATTCACTCAGGATGAGCTATAGCAATCGGAAATCAAAAAGGCGCTGAAGAGCTGCCAGCATGTCGTGGCAGGGTTTCATGCTGTTGATTTCCTCGTTGCGCCCACTTCGCAGAAGAACCGCCGACGCCGGAGTTGCAACGGCTGAAACATCCAGGCGCTGGACATGCTGAGCCGGTCCAGTCGTGAGCTTCAGGCGAAGAATTGGAGCTGGAAGGAAGGATCGGAGGGCCTGGCGTTCGATGAGTTTCTTATCGAGGTACCTTCAGAAAGCCTTGTTTTCTAGAGTTCTAGAGGTAACTTCAGCTCTGAAGACACTGAAGCGAGGTGTTTGATGGTTTTGCTGGAGGGTAAGTGCTGGGGCTATTGACCTTTGTCAATCGGACACTGAAGCATAGCTATGCTTGGGAAGAGGCTACTTCGCTGACGGGGAACTAACTTCTCAGCAACATTGCAAGATCATCAGGACAACGCGAGACAATAACTGGTTTCCTCCTGTCGATAGTCTCACACGCAAAGCACATTGGCATTCTACATCCATGGATGTTCTATTTTGATCATGTTTTCTATATGTTTTCTTTCACAACAACGACGTGGCGGTTGTTTGGGTCCTTTGCGCTGTGAGTCTTTGGCTCCTTCGAACCCACATCCGGTGCAGTGACCCACCCCTCCGAATGGGTGAACGTGGTGAGCTCTCATCAGTCAGAGCCTGCCCAGAAGGTCGGTCCTTACCTTCAGAAAGAGTGGTAGGCCATGGACAATGGGTCCTTAGCATGTCCTGACCCGAGTCCTTGCCCTGCCTGGTCCCCAGTAAGGTCCCCATTACTGCCTGTTCCGTGGACCGTCTTCTCCTTCTTCTTCTTCTCCTTCTTCTTCTTCTTCCGGTACCCAATGGTCCTTAGCATGTCCTTACTGTACTGGTGGATGTTGGTGATTCTCCGCGCAAAACGGGGAACAAAGCTGGTCCACCGCACTCATGCGACCAACTGCCGCGAGGTGACCAACTCCGTTAGCCTCTATGCTAATGGACGAGCCACCCTGGCCACAGGCAAGGACGGACGTATCCATGTGAGCAGATGGGGGCTTGACTCTAAATGAAGGACATCGCGACAAATTTTGGATAGAAGGCCATGTTTTTACAAGTTATCAGTTTGCTGCCAAGAAGGGGGGGCTTGGGCCATAGCCATGTGGGGCCATCAAGCTTGGATTTTGCGAGGCATTCTCCTTGCCAGGACCAACACTGACACATTGCCGCAAGATCTCGAGCGAGCAATCATCCAGCCACAGTAAAGTGGCCCTCATTCAGACAATGTGAAGCTGTACTCTTTTTCTTCCCGTAACAAGTCGTTTTTGGTTCAGTATCTATTTTGCCCGGTTTTGGGGTCAGGGAGGTATATTCGGTATCATGGGACATGTCCATTATGGTAGGAGGTGCGGACAACTCTTCAGATGTTTGCTACCTCCGTTCGTGTTGCACTCAGCCTGACTTTGATGCTCAGAAGGTATGCGCATTGGGGCTCCCATAGCTTTCCATGACACCCTTTGGTCCATGACACCCTCGTGGTCGATCGTGGATGGCATTTGTGGTCTTGGATGAGGGAAGACGACGAAAACCAAAAGGAGGATTCCCCACCAATCACGATTACTTGAGAAGTTCAGAGAAACTGCATGATCTAATCTTAGAAGGGGTTTTCTGCTAATCTTGAGTAGATCTCGGACCTTTTCATCGGTTTTCTAGACCTTGGTTTCTAGACCTTGGTGGATCATGGCCTTCGCTATCAGCATCCGCGTCTCGGCCTCTCCTCGCATGTCGCCAGGCCTTTGGGCATCGCCACCGATCTCCCCGCGGTTACAATCGCCCAGGCGAACCACGAAGCGACACGAAGCGTGTGCGAAGGTTCCAAGTATTTCGGGGGGGGTTGATCAATGGAGGGCGGAATGTTTCTTACTATTTAATATGTATATATTATACAATTTTGGGGGATGGGATTTCAAGTGCTATGCAAATTCTTGGACCATTCGCAAGTCATTTTTTTGAATTTCTTGGGTTTTTCCTCGCCAACATATCTTAAAAAAGGACAGGCGCCGGGGAAACATTCATGTATTTTTTGGGCCAGTCAGAATTTGGAGATGTTTGGCCAGTCTGGAGATGTTTCGGATGCTTGTGGGTTGGTGATGTTTGATTAGATATTGTGTGTTGGTACGTTTCCTGTTTTTTGCTGTGAGACATACCGGGTCCAAAGGATGTATCAGGCATGTGGAGTACCCCGAACATTTTGGCTTTGTCCCCTTCGCAAGGGAAGCTGAATTGTGGAACTTCAACCAACATTTGATTCCTCGCGTTTCTCAGCTGGTTGTCGAGATGCTACCCTTCTTTGTTGTTTACTTCTAATTACCTCAAAGATGTGTGTTTTGCATTTTGCTCAAAAGTAGAACGAACTGCCATCCTGAACTCTTTGGAGCCTTCCAACCACGCTTCGGTTCCGGTTCCATTTTCATTGAAACCGCTGGAGCTCCTTTTTTCGTTCGGGCGCAGCTTCCGCAGGGGTCAGCATATGGTGATGCAGGCGCAGAAGAGACGTGTAGAACTACGTTTCCAGGGGGGGAATTCGCAGACTTACGGTTTTTTAGTAGCTAGTAAGGCTGTACGATACAGAAGCCACACTCGAAGCTTGGAAACCATAGATTTCCTTGCTGCAGCTGTGCAAGTGGCCGCCCATCCTTCCCATGAAATCTGCATTGTTGGTTTTCATGGATTTGAATCCTTAAGTATTTCCTTGTTGCGCATTGTATTCTGACGCACCAAAAATGTCCAGCAATCATAGCCTCATGGAGGAGTGGGGGTGTTTATCCGTGAAGGCACGCTCCTACTTGTACCTTGTTTTTTGTTTTAGTAGTAGAATAGATTACACATAGTATATAGTTACATCAAAATGGATACCTTCATGCTGGACACACCTTCATGCCCGTCTCATAGCCCCAGATTAAGTCAGCCGCAATTACTAAGGCCACAGGTGTTTGAGTACTTTCATCGTCGAGGTCTCACTCATCAACGAACATGATGTTCTATACCATGAGCACCTGAAAGACGGACATGTTCTGTTGGTTTCTTTCACAGATCAACAAGTGTGGAAGTGGATCTACTTAATCCAATTAGTAGAATCAACTCAACATGTGTTATTACTTTGAGTAATTACTTTGGATTAAAGTAATAGCGAATCTTACTTTGGTCCTGAAACATGTCGAAGTCCTTCACGGACACCTGTGCCAGCGAACCGCAAGCTACAAGCACCACAGGCCCCGCGTCCGGGCTTGTGGGAACAGTGCCCAAGCTCAGAGGATGAGCGACCAGCTTTCGGGGTCGAAGCGTTCAGATGGATTACCGGGCAACCCGATACAACCCATGAAAGTACTTTTTGTAGTCAGATTTTGCTAGATAGCTCGTGCCTTTAGTACAGTAGTTATTTTTCTTGTGGAGTTTACTTCTCTTTCAGCCTTCATCTTCATACGAAGGTAATTACTGTTCAGTCCTTTGGTTGACTTGACCACCTGTTTAAAAAAGGCCTCAAAATCGACCTCGTCTTGGATTGCTTAGCCATGCTTCGCCTCGTCCTGCATGGTGAAATTCCAGCCGGTCCTTGGACCAGTCCTTGGATCATGTCATGAATAGATCTTTTGTTGGACCACTACATCATCGGACAGGTTGGTTGAAGGAGACAGGACCAACAAATCACAAGCCCATGGTCGGAGTGGGTACAAGATCGGCTCCCCCCTTTTGGTGCAAACGGTGCCGCCGACGGTGGCACCATGTGACATCACCGGTGATCACAAGCGCACTGCAACAAGTAAGTCTGGTGCTAAGGCACAGGCTTGCGGCAATGCAACAGATGCGCAGGAGCTTTCGGACCAGGGCCCACCAAAAAAGGGTTGTTTGATTGGCGAAAGCCACAAGGGTTCATGGACGGGTTCATCGAGGAACCAGGTTTCTACATCATTTTTGGAAGCAGATGAATCAGCCATTTCTGCGAACGTTCCACCCTATTGTTCTCTGGAGGCTTTGGAGAAAGTACAGATTGTCTCAAACCTATGTCACTATCACTTTGCTTTGAATTTAGACTGTTTTGGTTCTCTAGAGATATGATGACCTTTGTCGCGTCCTACGACTTTGTGACGACTTGTCCAGGAGCAGTGTCTCTTCCGGGCAGGAACTTCATCAAGGTGACAATGAAGTGCAGCGTGAAGCGAGATTTGACTGATGAGTTTACACTTCCTCCAGCTAATGACGTGCTAGAGGATTGGTTGCGTGAATTCTTTTCGGGGGGCGGCGCTAAGTGCTGTGCCATCAAAAACTTGTTAGTTCATGTTGGTTGAAGAAATGGGTCTCTTTTGGGGGTATCCTCTTATCCTGGGATTTCAAACAAACTTGGATGCTGATGGACATCTCCACACTGTTGTCTTGAGGACATCTCTCCTGTCAGCTGGCAGGATTTTTAGGTCCAACTTTTGTGTTCTTGAGAATCAGAATCCATCCAGTTGCATCATAGACCCAAAGGATATCTCTGATTGGTTTGTGTCGGGTCGTGTGCAGTTGCTCCTTGCTATCTCACCCCAAATACCCTTGCTCCCTAGATCTTCGTCAGTCAAGAATCAACTCTCCTACTATGCGTAATTACATCAGATGTGGCAGAGTGTGTGTCAACAACATTGTTCCACAAGCAAGGGTTGACAATCTGTAGTCTTGGTACTTCCATTTTTTTTGGGAGGCCATCAGTGCATAGAGAAGATGGAACTGCGGAACTGCTCGGTCGTGAGAATGTGGGCAAAAATAGTATACTGTGACAATTGCATGTGTCTTTGTCAACAAAGAAATGCCTGAAATCATGGTGCTCTCCTAGACTATGCCTCATGGGGCCAAGGGCGGATAGGCGACGTAATTTTGTTCGGGTTAGGCAAGAAATTACCAAGGGACGTGTGATAAGGCTTCATGCTAATAAGATGCACTGTTTGCTGCACTTGTTGCATGCGGAGAAGAATGCCAAAAAGGAATAGGAATGACCCACCCAGAAAGGACACCCTATAGACATCCCTAAGACCATCCTATAACATGTTATATATGTCTATCAAAGCTAGCACCTGGATTGTGATCCCATATCCCCAAAATGACAATATCCACAATCGTGTTTCTACAGACTGCTGGCGCTCATTGTAATTACCCGCAACTTCCAGCAACGCACCTGCTCATACGCACCATCACCCGCGAGGCGGAGCTCCTCCAGCTGAGTACGTCCTCCACCCACTGGAGTCCTCCGTGAAACGCCTGGAGGACGTCCCGACGCCCACCGAAGTGCCCCCCGTGCGCCTCTCCATGCGACAGGGCTCCGGCCCTCCCCCACCCGGACTCTCTGCCACGAGCGCCGGACTCGCTCCGAGCGCCGTGGCGCCAGCCGCGGCGCCGGCGCACCGGGCAGAGGTGGCCAGCGCGGCGGCTGGCAGCGAAGGAAGCGTTGGAGCAACGAGAAGTGCGACCGAAAGCGCGGTTTCAGCCGCCAGCATGGTTCAGGCATCAAGTGCACCAGCAACCTCATCGACGGAAGCACCAATTGTGCCGCCCAAAGCTGCCACTGCACCGGTTGCGCCGGAAGTAACACCAACAGTGCCAGCTGTAGCAATTGCCCCTCCTGCAACGGGCACAGCAGCATCTTGGTGATCGCAAAGAGGGGGTTGTTGGGGTGGAGGAAGAGTGAGGAACAAAGGAATTGATTGTCGATTGACCTTTCGAGCCAATGACTCATCCATCCACTATTCACTATTGGCGACCATCCTGGACTCTTTTGCCCCATCCTTGCGGTTCTTGTTGCAGTGACTGACCCAAGCAACCCATCAGAAGGATGAGCATGGATTAGGGCGCAAGACCGGACTGAGCACAATTAAACAAACAGAATAAGTGGGTGCCATAAAAAGTTCACCACACAAAGCAGACGTGAAAAAAGAACTCATGTTTTGATTGGTTTAAGTAAAGAAAACCAAGATTTGCATGACCCCATATTATTCCTACTACTGTATCAACAAAGATTTGTCTTTTGGACATCCTCCTTAGGTGTTTCAGAGAATTTGTAGCCCTGGCCCTGGCCCTCCACCCGGGTTACTTCGAACAATTCCAGCTGAGGTGCCCAGCCTACCGGTGCCGAGTCCCGAGGCCGGTACCGAATCGGTCCAATGCAGCTGGGGTCCATCACCTTTCCCAGATCATCCATGTATGGAAGAGTACATCATATCCAACCCATTTATGAACCAATATTAACCACTATATATTTTATGTCCAAATCATGGATGGCTTGGGGGACGATCGACCTCAAGGAGCTTGGATATTAGATCATATTAGATCGCTCGACCCTTCAAGTATTTCGGAAATCCTGTTTTTGATAAAGGTCATGTGAGTCATGTTGCAAGTTGCATTCTTCTTCGGGGTACTTGGTTTCTTCGGGTCGTAGCAGGTTCTGTGTGGAACTGGGTGAAGACGACATGTGTCGACATGTCGACCCAACTTGGCCCATCACCGAAGCACACACATCAGAAATTCCCACAGAGAGGAAACGAAACCTCAGTCTAAAGCACGGTGAACCCTTTTGTGAAAGGTGTTTTCTTATTTTTCTTCTGATTCAAGTATCATAAGTCTTGCACACAGAAGTTTGTATCTCTTCAACAAACCATCCAGACCACTCCCGAGCCTCAGCACGAAAGCCAGAAAACGCATTGGAATCGCCAGGAAAGCCAACGTGGATCCCATGGGCCGTCCGCCTTAGAACCGATGGCCATGATGGCCGATGGCGGGGACAGGGTGCGAACTCGACGTGTTCTTCCATGACGTGGTCCGGTCCGGGATGGTTCTTTCCGTAGCATTCCCCTATAGAGCTATAGGCTCTATACACTATGGTTCCCCCTTGGCTCAGCAAGTTTGGTGCTGATAAACTGGACATCTTCTAGAATGAATTGCATCTTTCATCCTAGTCCTCGTTTTGGTACGACTGGATCTTTGGATGGGGCACCCCAAAAAAACTGGCAGAAGGAGAGCTGTCGCTTTCTATGTTTCGGGTAGTTTAGCGTTCCCTAAATTATTTGCCCCCCCAGGAAGTGGCATGCACTTCCAGAGCAAAGGACTCGAGATGGACCACTTGGCCGTGCTAAAGACCTTGCGAAATGGACCTGTTTGGGTTCATCAATATATTCTGATTGCAGGACCGTCAGCTGGTCCGCCAGCTGGTGGTGTTCCTCGCTTTTTGATGCCCCTAGCTCCTATTCCTTTGAAGGGCCTTGGAAAAAATGGTATTACCAATATCATCTCAACTGAATTTTCGATCCACAGAACCCTGTCTCACCCCTATTGTAACGTAGAGCTCGAGCTACTGGTGCGCAGCTCCTGGGCGGCTGAGGTTTGATTCGCCACGAGATGCGTGTCACAAGTCCACGGCCAAGGTGCCGACGGGAGCCAGCCATACGACCGCTGCCTGGGCGCAGGGGGGGGGGTTCTGTTGAGTAGGCGCCATACGACGGGCGTTCCAAGTTGCAGGATGGATCGCATCAAAACATCACGGTCCTTACAACCCAGACACGACCCATGGGACTGCCATATATGCCGATCAGTTGGGATTCCAGCCTCATGGAGTGTATGGGCAAAGACACCCAATTGCAATCATCTGAAATATGTTGATGTTGTGTTTTTTTTCCCATGCGAGTCCCTTTGTATCACATCCTATAGAGTAGTTGTTCCCGTTTTCGTCGTTTCTTTGCCAAAGCGGCATCAGAACATAATTCTCCGTCCCCTCGGACGCCCGAGATCGTCCCCCTCCCCTCCAGACGTCCTTCACTCCGCGTCAGACCTCGGAGCTTTGGGACCGCATCGCACAGCTGGAGTCGCAGCTCAGCGACCGCCGCTTGGGACTGCGTGCGTCACCGTTGTGCGGTGTGCGCAGGTGAGCTCTTGCCTGGTGTTTGGATGGATTGGGGTGGACTTGTTTGGGATGTGCCCGAAAATTTGGTATATCCAATCCCCTTTCTTTGCATTGGGGGGAAAGGATAGAAGATATTGAAACACATGTTTCTGCATGTTTGTTCTTTTTCGTTTTCCCAGTTCGGCAGCAAATCCAAGGTACGGGATCTGAAGTGTTTCGACCCAAAAACACCTAATTATTGATATAATATGGGGGTACTGGGTGAGCAGGAACTCATCGGAAATCACCGCATTTCACTCTTCGACTCGAGAAGTGGATTTTGGTCCAGTTGCTACACCAGCTGAGAGCCTTTTTTTCGGAGTTCACACAACCCCTCACACCTCCCAAGGTGCCAATCTCATTCAGCACCTTGGCGGGGTTGCCGTGTCTGGATGCTGGGCTGAGATGATTTTAGAATACATGATGCGTATCAGTCTGCCAGTTGCTGCGTAACCACCTTATTGGACGGATGTCCAGTATAATGATTATAATGATGAGGTAAGAACCAAGACAAACCACCCCAAATTGTCTATGTGTGTTTTTTTAAATCAAGGAGTCTTGCCTGGACTGCCCTAACTAGTTGGTTCATTCACAAGAGTTTCTGGGCACAGTTGGGGCGATGACTTGCCAGGTGAAGGGCCGCTCCATTGGGTTTGGGTTTGGGTTTGGCTGCGTTGTTTGGGATGAGGATCATGAGGGAGATGACCAGTAGCCTCTTGTGATGAGCACATATATGTGGGGCCCTTAAACAGTCACACTTCAGACAGCTTGTGTTTAGAAGTTTAATTACGATGTTTATACCTTGTTTGCAATAGCTCATCCCAAGCCGGAAAAGACCAACACTCCACCCGTTAGCCATACAGGAACAAGAGGTATCACATTGACTCCAGTTAATTGCATTGCCAATGCCTTCACCAAGCAGATCCAAGCAGTATGTACAATGGTTGCAGTGCAGTGCACAATTCATACCAGGCGAAGCGGTGATTCAGGCACCACTCGTTTGATCCGGGCACCCCAAACACAACAATTCTCAGGCGCTTGAATCACCAGCAAGCGCAGCTTGACCGCTTGGAGGCGCAGATTCAATTATTTGGCTCTAAACGATGTTATGATTAGACCCTGTTTCAGGTCCTTTGGCTAGGTGAGTGTAGAAACACATGGGTTGAGCCCCTAAAGCAATATCCCAAAAGCCAATGTGATTCAACATTAAATATATGCCCTTTGCCAATTCCAGTCATTGGGGCACTGATCTCACTAATAAGTTCATAAGAACCAATGGCCAGGATCTTCAGTCAGTGGCCTTCTGAGATCTCAGGATGAAATCACAAACAGGCCGCACACTCCGAAGAGGTCAGTTTTGAAGGTCCTGGGGGTGTTCACATGTTTTTTCCACTAAGGTTTCTTTCGCGAAGGGAGATGAATGGAGACACCATGGTGACCAGCGAGGGGTGAACTTGGATCTAATCTCTGCATGAGAAGAGATGTAAATGGAAGTTCTTTCAGGCTATTCCAACACCAGAATTCCAGTGACGGTCAAACTCACGACCTGCACGCACATGAGGGTGCCATTGGTTTGACCTTCCCATACTTCAGTGGAGTATCACCGCACAAGTCTTCACTACCTAGACACCGAGTCTATCAAGTTGAATTGAGCTGACCGGGTGACCGGGTGACCCAGCTGGTCACCACGCACGGGGGTCAAGAAAAGGAGGCGTTTCCTACGAACAGGTGATAAACCCAACAAACTTCCGGTTTCTACCCTCCCAAACTACAAGCCTTGCCCTTTCCTAAACAAGCCAATGTCTAGTATGCCCCCCGAAGAGCCCCAACTCCCAACTCACCGCTTGCCCCTCCCTCCGACCAAGACGCTGGACCTCCTCCCCTCTTCCGCCGCGCCGTGCTGGCAGGCGCTGGCGGAGGAGAATGCTGCGCTTCGGTCTCAGCTCAAGGTTCGCCGAGCCAAGGCGCGGGGACCGAAGACGCGCACGCGCAGGTCTGCGACGAGGCACGGTTCGGTGAACGCGGGCGGCCGCGGCGGGTGTGAGTGTGTGTCGGGGAGGTGGAGAAGACGGGGATTATGGGTGTGATAGATATATAGTCTTGGTAGGACTTGTTGAATTAGATTAAACTACGGATGGAATTGATTGAATGTTCAAGGAGTTCATTCTACTGTAGGCTATATCAGGTGTCTTGCTTTACCCACAAATGTTTGTCTGCAGCTTGGTGTAGACCGCGCCAGGGCGATACACCTCCCTTGAGTGCTCGAGGTGAACTTCGAGGTCGGTCGCTCGGTCTGTCCGTGTCACGGATTTTCAACTTGGCAGAGCAGTGGGCTACAGGGTTTTGGGCAGGGTTTGGCGGGGTTTCGTTTCAGAACAATGACGTCACTCACATGGGCTTCGTTTGGTCCCAAGTTTCATGGATTTGGGCGGTTGCAGTGAATACATCCCAGGCACTCCATGTATAGATTTTTTTCCCCCACATTGACCCCCCCCAATGTATGAAAATATGCTATACATGCAGCGTTTGGGTATTACAGAACTCGCCTATAGGTATCGAGGGTAAGTCCAAAGAGCGGGGACTGTGCTGTGAAAAGATCGTCACCCAGCCATTGGCAGCCAAGCATAGTCATGGAGAATGGAACGCATGCTTAACAGGGACAGTGACACCGTCGTGTGCTACTTGGGGGGTGATTGGTCAACAACGTTAGTTTAATCAT